ATCACTCTGGGGACTTGCAAACTTGCAGGCCCCCAGTCTGAGCTGTGAAAGCAACAGAAAGACATAAAAGGACAGAAGCTCAGGTCAGACATGCCCCCTAGAAGTGAGCAAAGAAGCTGGAAGAAGGAGCAAACAAAAAAAGAACCCAATCACAAAAAGCTACTTGGTGACAAGGAAGCTCAAAAAATAAAACCAGAAAATCTATAAGCAAAACCTCAAAGAAAAATACAGACTGCACATAAAGCTAACAAGAATTCCTAGGAGAGCAAAAAAAAATCTTTAAAAACTAAATAAGAACAGTAGAGGGAAAAAATAATTTTTAAAAAACTGAGAGCTATGCAAGAAAGTTATAAAAAGAAAATCAAAAGCTTGGCAAAAGAGGTATAAAGCCTTACTGAAGAAAATAACTCCTTGAAAATAAGAAGTGGCCAAATGAAAGCTAATGACTCCATGAAACATCAATAAATAATAAAGTTAAAAGACTGGAAAAATAGAAGAAAATGTGAAATATCTCATAGGAAAAACAACTGACCTGGAAAAAAGATCAATGAGATATAATTTAAGAATCACTAGACTACCTGAAAGGCATGAACAAAAAAAATCTTAGATATAATATTTCAAAAAATTATAAAAGACTGCCCAAATATCTTAGAACCAGAAGAAAAAACAGAAATTGAAAGAAATGACCTGTCATATCTGGAAAAAAAAATCCCAAAATAAAAACTCCCAGGATTATTATAACCAAGATTCAGAACTCCCAGGCCAAACAGAAAACACTGTAAGCAGCCAGAAAGAAAGAATCCAAGCACTGAAGAGCCACAGTTAAGATCACACAAGATTTAGCTGCTACCACTATAAAGGAACAGAGGACTTGGAATATGGCATCCCAGAAGGAAAAGAATCTAGTATTACAGGCAAGAGTAACATACCCAACAAAACTGAATATAATCCTACAAGTGGGAAAAATGGTCATTTAATGAAATAGAAGACTTTCAAATATTCACTACAAAAAGGCCAGAGACAAGAAGAAAATCTGACAGGTAAACAGTACAATGAACTTTTTATTTCAAAATTTTCCTTCTTTTATTATAATGACTATTTGGCATACTCTCAGACTATCTGGTCATCTGGTATAATGGAAAGATACTGAGAAAGATATTGAAAGATATTGAGTCAAAACATTTGAATTTGTGGCCTAACACTGAAATTTACTAGGTGTGAGACTATGAGTAAAGTCACTGAGTCTGAGTGATAAAACATGGACAATAACAATTGTGCTGCCTATCTCACAGAGTGGTGCTGATAAAAGCACTTTTTAAAATGTAATATTACAAAACAAATATGAGACACTATTGTTGACTAGCTGCTTAATCTCACCATTCAACAACAATTAAGTAATATCTAAAAAGGAAGTCTTCTGCAATAGCCATATAAATCAGCACAGGCCATTGGGCCAGGCAGGAAAGAAAAAACAGTGGCAACAGTCTGGTAAAAACTTTTTTAAAACTCAAAATAAAACCCTCTTGGAGTTTGTGGAAAGATGGCAACATTTTAGAACCTAGAGGAGTCCAGATGCCCTAGAATCATCCCAGAAAAGCTCTAAAAATGAACCAAAAAGAAACAACAATAAAGACAACCCAAGAGAAACAACTACATGCTCCCCATGTAGATCCAGCTTAGGGCTGCACAAAAAGAATGCCAGGATCCTGAAGAAGCATAGATATGCATAGACAAAGAGAAGCCAAAGTCCTGAAGTACAGCAAGAGACAGGGCCTGATGAACACCCAAGCAGCACATCCAAAAAAACCCAAAACTGGCAGCTCAGCATTTGAGCAGCCCCAAATAAGGAAGAGAAGAAGAATGGGTCTGATCAGCTCCCTACAGCTCAGTGTGGTGTACCCTCTAAGTTCTTTGCCCAGGCAGCTTTGAATCTGCCTAAAATAGAGTGAAGGGCCAGCTATCAGAAATCAGTACCCAAGAATCTCAGTGTAGGCTCAGGTAGTGCAGCTTCCAGGCAAACTAACACCAAGTTAGCACAGGTCCAAGCAACAGCAGGAAAAAGTGCCACAGAAGTAGCTGGGAAGCAAAGCACCCAAGGTCTCCCAAAAGACCTGTTAACAGCACCATCAGCAACATCTAAGTGGGACCTAACAGGTTCACAGCAAGGGACAGATCTGTCTATACTTATCAAATACTAGATTACTATGGTCATTTGCTGCTGTGTCTATTTCTTAGTTAAGTCAGTACCAGATTGCTTTCATAATTACTGCTTTATAATATAATTTGGAATCTGGTATTGCTAGGCTACCTTCCTTTGCATTTTTTTTCCCCACTGATTTTCTTGATATTCTTGACCTTTTGTTCTTCCAGAAGAATTTTGTTATGATTTTCTTCTAGCTCTATAAAATGATTTTTGGTACTTTGGCATGGCACTGAATAAGTAAATTAACTTAGACAGAATTATCATTTTTATTATATTGGCTCAGCATACCCATGAGCAATGAATACTTCTCCCAGTTTTTTAGATCTCTCTATTTGTGTGAAATAGATGATTTCAGAGACATGGAAAGACTTGTGTGAACTGATGCTGAATGAAGCACACAGAACCAGAACAATTTATACATATAATCAATATTATAAAAACAATTTTGAAAACTTTTATAAATTGATAAAGAATTAAATAAGTAGATCCAGAAGAACAATTTATAGAATAAAAACAAAAATGTAAAGACAAACAACTTTAAAAGATGTAGGAAATATGATCAATCCATGATTCCAAAAGACTGATGATGATACATGCTATCTATCTACCTCCTGACAAAGAGGTGAAGGATTTGGGGTGCAGAATGAGACATATATTTTTCAAACACAGCCAATGAAGGAATTTATTTTGCTTGAGTATACATACTTGTTATGAGGAATTTTTTTTTTCTTCATGGATGGGGGAGGAGTAAGAGGCAAAGAAAATAAATTTCTACAAATTTAAAAACTAACACTTTTTAAAAAATCAATGACTTGGCACAGATGGGATGCTTATCAAATGCATACATGACACAAAGCTGGGAGAGCTAGCTAATACAGGGAATGAGAGCAAAGATCCAAAAAGATCTTAACAAGCTAGAAAATTGAGCCAAATCTAGTAAGATTAAATTAGTAGTGATAAATTGGAAGTCTTTCTTTTGGGTTCAAAAAATCAGTTTTAGAAGTACAAGATGGGAAAAGGGGTGGTAGAGAAAGAGGAATAGTTAGATAGCATTTGGTTTGAAAAAAATCTGAGCGTTTTAGTGGACTGCAAGTTCAATGACTCAGCAGTGTGATGTAACAGCCAACAAAGCTAATGAAGTATTGGGTTGCAATAAGAGAGGCATAGGCTACAGAAGACAAGGTGATCATTCTTTATAATCTGTCCTAGTCAGACCACAGGTGGATACTGTTTTCAGTTCTGGATACGAAAGTTTAGGAAGGACATGGTTAAACTAGAAAGCACCCAGAGGAGTACAGCCTTTAGGAAGAGACATATTAGGATCAGCTGAAAAAAACTGGAGATGAAAGAAAACAAACAAAACAAAACAAAAAGCTGGAGACATTTATCCCTGGGGAATGAAGGCTTGGGGGCAAGATATAAGAGTTGTTTTCAAGTATGTGAAAGGCTGTCACATGGAAGAAGGGTTAGATTTGATCCGTTTGACTTCAAAAGTAGAAATAGTATCAATGAGTAAAAGTTGTTGTTCAGTCATATCCAACTCTTAATGAATCCATTTGGGATTTTCTTGGCAAAGACACTGAAGTAGTTTGCCACTTCCTTCTCCACCTCATTTGACAGATGAGAAAACTGAGGAAAGTTAAGTGACTTGCCCAGGGTCACACAGCTAGTAAGTGTCTAAGGCCAGATTTTAATTCAGGTCTTCCTGACTCTAGGCCTGGCACTTTATTCACTGCACCACCTAGCTGCTAGGGGCAAGTTTAGATTTGGTATAAAGAAAACCTTTCTAACAATCAGAGTTGCTCAAGTAGAATGGATTGCCACAAGAATTAGTAGGTTTTCTCTCATTGGAGGTACTTAAGCAAAGGCTAGGGAACCACTTGTTATTAAAGATGCTGTAATGGGAATTTCTTTTTTAGTATGGCTTAAACCAAATGGCTACCAAGGTTCCTTCCCATTATAAAATTCTGTAATGTATTATGCCACCATTAGATCAAGTAGGCAAAAGTTACAAAGGAACAGTTTTAAGATCAATACAAGGAAGAACTACCTAACACACAGAGCTGTCCAGAAGTAGAAATAAGGCTGACTCAGGAAGTAGTGAGTTCCCATTCCCTGGAGGTATGGAAGTAAAAGTGAATGGGATTCTTTAGAAGGGAATCCTCTATGAGTTGTAGATGAGACTAGATTACCTCTACAAATATAAACTCAAGTAAATATAATTCATTAATAATCTGTAAATACTTATCTAGAACACAATCCCTTGACGTTTCTCCAACCCAAATCCAACCTATGTCTGCTCCCATTCAGCTGACTCAAAATCAGTGATGCTGAAACCCTCTACTGAAACCTGCAGCCCTCTAAGTACTCAAATGCAGTCCTTTTACTGAATCCAAACTTCACAGAACAAATCCCCATAACAAAAGGATTTGTTTGGTAAAACTGAGACTCAGTCAAAAGGCTGCACCAAGGACAAGAAGGCCACATCCGGCCTCAAGGTCACAGGTTCCCCACCCATTAGATAATGTGAACAGAAAGTAGTCACACTGGCAACTCAAGGACTCCCACATTAAGTGAATTCTTTTTTTTTTAATATGGTCAGAAAAAAATGAAGGACTTCTTTTAGCCATAATTTTTTTTCTTTTTTTAAACTTCATCTAATTTGAATGGGGAAAAGCTAACCAACAGTTCTCGGACATACCATTATAGACCAATAAACATTATCTTAAAAAATGACAATTATAAATTTTTTTCAGTGCATATTTTTAATAATCAAGTCAAATATTTAAATGTTTACCTTATGGGGCCATAGTTCAGCATTATGAATGTCAGTACCACCATCACACACACAGCTCTCCGTTTTGGACTGGGAACTTTGAGCTTCTGATTCTACAGAGAAGGTTCACATTACACACAATCAACCCTGCATCAGTTGTACATAAAGACATCAAGAACTTATCAGCATACAATAACCATTTTACTAGCTCACTACAAGGGACACAGGAAGAAAACATTAGTATTCAAGCACAAAAATGTATTTCCTCTCATCAAGAGGATGAGTGGCTATCTGCAAAACTGTTTTAAATAACAGTGAGACCTGATCAAATTTTTGATTCCCTCTGGGAACGAAAGACAATGACAGCAATGGACAGTCAAAATACAGATAATCTAAACATATCATTTTAGTCATTACTTTCAATCACCTAATTGAGGGATCACCCAAAGTTGCTAAGTTAAATATGGACTCAAGTTGCTCAGGTCAAAATTAGCAAATTTCAATTTCATTTCCTCTTCCTTGCATGTCTGTTGATAAGCTATAGAATGAATAAAATCCATGTAACAGGAAGGAGGAAAAACAAAAGTTCTATATAATCATAAAAGTGGACAGTCAGAATTGGATAAAAATTAGCCATATAAGAAGTTATCTCTTTTATTAGACCATGTAAATGAAAATTTACTTTTAAAAAATTAATCAAAAGGTGAGGCAAAAGTCCCTTTCTACAGAATATAATCCTTAAATTACTGCTACGTGGCAGACAATCAGCAGAGAAGCAGGTAAACAGAACAGCATGAGTCACTCTGAAATAAATGCCCCTTTTCCAAAGTAAGTAGGTTGCACTATTTTTTCCCCCTACTTATCATCAAGGAATTTTGAGATGTTTTTGATGTTTCCCCTTATCCTCCACCCTTCACAAAAATTCCAAGAAGTTTTCCCAAGTGCTCAGGAATACAGAGTGCTATTAAGAAAAACAGTGAAAGAAACTCTATGTAGACACTATCTGGTTGTCTCTAGCCAGCGTTTACTAACAGAACCCCAATTCCCTGGGAACAAAGAGAGGAGATATGACTTGAATATCTCAGTCACCTAAAAGCCTCAAAATGATTGTCCTCATCAAAACAAAAAGGAAGACAATGAGTGAGTGGTGAGATGTGTTGTAAATATGAATCTGAAAGTGGTTTCTTGGCTCAGATTCTTACAATCTAGCCAATAGCTCACCAATATGATGGATGTTCTAATAAACCTTCTCTTTGGCTAAAAGAAGGCTTGGGCCGAATTCTTTGGGGCAGAATCTTCATGTTGTGATTTTGGGATCCCAGCACCCCTAAACCCCTAGACCTCAACATTTTGGTGGCACATACAGGGAAACTGCCTAACTCCAAGTTCCTCTCCAGCCAAGACTGGAAGGTATGTAAGCCTCCTCCCCCTGCTCCTTTCTTGCTCTGCAACTGGGATCACTCTCCAAGCGCCAAGGCTTGGAGGTGCTTTTCAGGCACAGAGTTACGAGGCTGTCTCAAAGTCGGCCTGATGCTCTCAGGCTCTTGGTCCACTGGGTCTGTTCAAAGCCATGGACCTGGGTATACCTTCCACAGGATAGAGGACAAGGACTGGCACCTTATCTGGAAGCATATATGCAATTCTGTCAATTCTCTCTGTGCGAGGGAATTAGGAAAAACTGTAGTTGCTTTTTGGTTCCCTGAGGCTTCCTTAGTCCCTTCCCTCTACATCCTGAATCCTCCTTCATGGAGGTAACAGGGAAAAGTTAGAACAGCTAAAAATATCTTGGCAGATTCTGGAGGTTTCGTGATTCATCATTAAGGAGTTTTGAAACACCTCCTTACAACCCTGGTCACTCCCTTCCCTTCAGTCAAGAAGGTATCTGTTAACCCCTCTCATAGGAGAAGAGAGGTTCACCCTCTACCCTTCACCTTTGATTTTGCCCTCCCCAACCTGGGAAAGGAAGGAGGAGGGGGAGGGGCAGCAGCTACAGCATGGGTCCACTGGCAATGGCCTTGAGCCCTAGGGCAACCTTTGCCTGGAAGCATCACCCAGGTTCAGCACATCCTGCTCTAGGTAAAGAAGCTGACCTCTGTACTTGGGTAAGCATGCGCTTTTTAAAGTGTAGTTTTAACTGTTAATGATGAGATACTGATTCTCTGGGTAATTTGGAAATGCATTTAACAAAACTGAAGTCACCTGATTGGTAATGGATTTGTTTCAAGTTTCAAATTGGTGAACTTTTTGTATCAGTTATGTGAAGCAACTTTTCATAATTTGGTTACCACTAAAATAATCTGGCTATTGTTGGTTATTGTTTTAATGTGTAAACTAGCCAAAAAATTTATTTGGGTTACGGCTTGCTGAGAATTTTCAAGTGTATAGCAATCTCTAATGATTGGCTTTTTACACCAGGACAAATTTAAGTTTGAGATGTAAATCCTGGAGAAGTTTTTCCTAAGCTGTGATTAGTGAAACTTGCTGTGTGAGGTAAAAGCTCACAGGATTTTATTTTGAGTTGTCTGATGGATCATAATAATACATCGATAATCAATAATCCACCATCTGAGAGAAATGCCACAAGCTACTTAGAGAATGTGATACTGGGGGGGAAGTCAGCATTGGGAAAAGCTAAGAGGACAATTTTAGCCTCAGTCTAAGATGCGATCCTCCTGGCTCAGTTTCCCCATTATGTTCCTTTGAAAAGGAATGTTACCCACCTGGCTATTCCTGAGTCTGGCTATGAGGTGGATTTGATACTGCATAGTTGGAAAACTGAATTATCTGAATCCAAATAGAGCTAAGGATGTTTTATCTTGTCATATCTGGGCCCTGCAGTCTTTTCTGTTAGATTTGTGTCTTCCAAACTATGGGCCATTCACCTACAATTGATAGTAAGCAGCGGGTACCAGCCAATGTCCCCTCATCATTCCCTGGATGCATACTGTGCTCAGTTCCAGTCAACATCCTCTTTGGGACCCCTTTGAGGCAGGGACAGCTCTATGCCCCTTGACAGCAGGAAGTAGTTTCAGAAGCCGAGAACTTTGCCCCTGACCCCAAAAGAATTTGGGTCCCATTTGTTTGATGGGGGAATGATGAGGATGAGATCTAGACCCCAAAAAGGAAAAACCCCTGGACTTTCCCACAGGGCCAAATCCCCCCCCCCATAATCCCATCAACTGGCCTTTCATTGTGGCTACACTCAATCTCCCAATTCTGTTACCCTTAACCTAGCCTACCCCTCCACTGTCCTACCTCCCAATGGCCCCAGGCCACTTCCCACCCTTAATCTTATCCAGGCTCCATTCTCCCTTGGCCAAGTCCCTGGAGTTCTATTACCTCATAGACTACTTGGCCACTCCTAAATCCCTCCCATAGTCTTTCCGTATATAAGGTCCATCTTGTCTCCATTAAGGTGCTCAGATTCTTATAAACTAGCCAATAGCTCATTAATATTCAGACTTCTTAAGAGTCTGCCCAATATGGCAGATGTTCTAATAAACCCTGTCTTTGGCTGACAAAAAAAAAAGTGGTCTCTTTCCAATGCTTTATCCTGACTGTGGAAAAGGCACTCAGAACCTATTTCCCCAATACTACTTTATCCATTATAATTTGACTATGAAGTTAAGTTCTTTAACAGTTTTATACCTAGTAATGGCATTTCAGAGCTCCTTACCCTAACGCTTAAGTAAAATATAAGCATGAGAGAGGATCTGCACATTGGAGGTAGTTGGTAAACATCTGCAGAACTGAGGAACACCTACCTCTGACACTACTTCATCCAGCTGCCGCTTCAGGGACCCATTCTCTTTTTGAAGTCTCTCATTTTCTGAAAGGGCTGCTTTTAACCTTGCCTCCAAGCCTAGCATATATTCTTTCTTCCTCTTGCGAGACTGACAGGCTGACTCTCGATTTTTGATCATGCGCTGCTGTCTCCGGAGGACAGTCACCTAAGGAAAGGGAGAAAGAGAGTTAATTAAATTTGAAACCTATCTCGTTTATTCATCCTTCATGACCCTGGAAAGTTATTCACTGTTTACTGGTGCTTTTACTTGCTGCTAATCCCATCAAAAATTACTTGTATTATCAACTTGTTCAAAGGTTCATTTTAATCTTGGTGTAAGTTAGGGTCCTTTATAAAATGTTGAGGTGATCTACAGTGGATAGAGCACTGGCCCTGGATTCAAGAGGACCTGAGTTCAAATCCAGCCTCAGACACATAACACTTACTAGCTGTGTGACCTGGGCAAGTCACTTAACCCCACTGCCTAACCAAATTAAAAAAAAAATGTTGAGGTGATCTGAGTAAAGGTCCAATGACTAAACATATTTCTCCAAAGACCAAGCTACTTACATTCACAGAGACTTGTTACCAGATTCACTGCACAATGATTAATTTCTAGACTACAGCAATTCTCAAAGACCATCTACTAAGTTATGTGACAATACCCACACTGACAAAATTATGGACTCCTCATGTATTGAAGTTATCTGAAGTCAAAGCTTGTTAGTTGTTTTTCATTTAACTTTATTTTCAAATTTGTTTAAGTGTTATTATGTGATTATGAAACAAGTCCTATAATACAAAAAGACCCTTTTCGCTCATTAATTTTCATTTTATGATGAAGAGACAGATAAACCACAGACCAATCGCCCTACTGAATATCATATATAAATATTAAATACAATATTAGCAAAGAGGCTACAGTATCATATTTAAAAGATTATATATACACTGTGGTCAGGTTGGATTTATACTAAGAATAAAGGATTGCTTAAATATTAGGAATACTATAAACTACAGATCACATTAAAAATGAAACACACGATTATATAAATAGTTACAGAACAGGTTTTTGAAAAACTAAAGTAGCCATCAATGTAAAAGAAAAAACCCACCAAAAAGCACAGCAATAAATGGATCTTTCCTTGACATGGTAAATAGTCTCTACATAAAACCAAGAGACAGCATTATATGTATCGTAGAGTGCTAGTACATCTGGGTAGTCTGAGTCAATTATAATTTCTAATCATCTCATCTCTAACCACTTACCTCACCACATGGTATAACCCTTAAAAAACCACACACAGCTGCAAAGTATTCTCTGTTTAAAACTAGCCTTGTAAAAGGTGGCATTTCATTATTAAACAACCATCTGCACATTTATTTGACCATATGAGAGGCTTATGTAAAAGAACTTTCATGGTTTATTCCTTTTTAAAAGTTGGATTAATTTAACAATCAATATCCCAGCCATATTCTCATTTCTTTTTTTAATTAAAAATCTTTGTGGGTGGGTAAATACTAATAGGTCAAAACAGAAGAATAGACCAATAACCCCAATAACTGCTAGGACTGGTATTTCAAAGGCACACATGAATATGTATTAAAGATAGGGTAAAATATGACTATTAAAAGTTCATACCAATGTTATAAATTGGTACTTAAGTCACGTCAAATCTTGGTAACATTAGGATGTTTATCTGTATGCCTTACATTCCTCTGTGTCCTGACTCTTTTATCCCTAAATCTTTTCAGATGATGGAGTTGATCATTAGAAAGATCAATAGTCCCTCTAGCTTGTTTGGCTGTGAATGTTTGGATTAGACCTCAGCAAAGAACTTTCAATTCTATTTGAAACTATTTCTAAATCACAGAAGGCAGATGGCCCTATAATATTTTATCTATTCAATAGATTCTTGTTGACTAAGTTGCTTAAAATATACCACATATAAACTACAATAAACATTAACATAATCCACTCTTGAAAAAGGTTCCTATCATTACTGGCCAACAGCAACAGAAGGATGAGACTGAACCTTACAGTCCTAAAAAAAATCATGTGGAATAATAAATATTTATTATTGTATATTTTTAAGGCTTTGCTATGCCTTGTTAAACAAATGTTATAATTTTGAGTTTCATAATTAGGCTTAAATTGCATTGGAAAAATTTAGATTTCTGCTGTCCCTTTTTTTCAATTTCATTCTTGGCAATCAAAATTTAATTTCCCTCCTTCTAAGTTTATTTATAATGCAGTTTTCCACAAATCAAGAATTAACCAAAAAAGCCTTAGTATTAGTAGTCTGAACTATCATACACTTGGCAAAGCAAAAACAGCTTTCCCTTACTCTACTTGATTTCCTTACTGCTTTGAAAGAGTATGTCTTCCGTTCTGATGTATAACTCACTAAGTAAGAAGAAATGGTAGGCAAGGTTCTCACTAAGTTGAAGATGTGCATGGCTATATACATCATCAAACAGCTGTTTACAATCTTGGATGTCTACTGTCTAAGTATTTCCTTTTTTTGTTCCAATTTTGCCCCGCTTTCTTTGTTCTCTTCTTATCTCCCTTCATCCACCCCCTTCCTATGTCTTCTTGTCCTTCTCTCTTACAAGCCTCTGCCTTCCTCTTTCAGTCAGTTCCTAAGTATCCAGTGGTCCCAGACAAAAGAATGATGCTGTTTTTACTACAGAGTAGGTATTGTCTTGCTTCAATTAAAAGAATTTGTGACCCTACAGAATTATAATACAGGATTTTGAAAATCACGTGAGCCACAAGTAAGATAAACTGATGATATGGGTAAAAGAGACAGCTTCTGTGCCTTTAAACAGACTGTTCTTCATGACTAAAATGGACTCCCTTCTAACCTTCACCTTATAAAATCCCTGGCTTTCCCATGGCATGCCCTTCCTAGTCTCCCTAATTGTTACCATTTCATCCTTCCTCGAATTAAATATCATCAAAAGAATGTGTGAATTTGTGTCTCCTTTGTGGAAAGTATCTTATTAAAATACTAGGGGAGTTACAAGGAAGACAATAAAGCAAATTTATACAACCAGTTAGGTTCTTTAGAGAGGTCTTGCCTGCTCCTTAGGCCACCGTACTTTGTGAGCTGGGAACATATTTTATAAGAAACTGCACCTTGTAGTAGAAAACAAGTGATTTTGTGAGTTTGAAGAGTTGGTTTTCTTACAGTAGTTGTGCAACCATAGACAAGTCACCTAATCTCTACAGGGCTCAGTTTCCTCATCTGTAAAGCTGGGACCATTTTTTGTATTATCTGCTTCATAGGGCTCTTTTGCGCTACTCAATTCAGCAAGTATTTATGAAGCATCTCCTCTGTGCATGGCACTGTGCTAGACATAGAGGATATAACTCAAAAACCAGTCCTTGCTCACAAGGAACTTTTGTCCTACTTAGAGAATATCACATTTATGCATGAAAGCAAGTACCATATGATTTGTGTAAGGACAGATGACTGGGGGATAAGAAAAGGGTTCTCATAGGAAGTAGTATCTGAAATGTTTCTTGAAAGCTTATCAATTTCTGTTTCTCCAGAGGAACAAAAGAAAAGATGGTAGAAGGAAATGAAAGGACTCCAGGTTTAGAATTTGAAGAGACTTTGGAGGTCACATAAACTCATTTTATACACAAGGAAACTTGTGAATAGAGAGACTGAATGACTTGTCCAATGTCACAGCCTACAGGGAGCAGAGCCAGGACCAATAACCCTCTTACTGCAGTCTCTGGCTTGTCTCTTTTTTTTTTTAAGGCAATTGGTGTTAAGTGACTTGCCCAGGGTCACACAGCTAGTAAGTGTCAAGTGTTTGGTCTGAGGCCGGATTTGAACCCAGGTCCTCCTGACTTCAGGGCCGGTGTTCTATCCACTGCACCACCTAGCTGCCCCCTGGCCTGTCTCTTTAATGTCTATCCAGAAACCTTGCATTTTGCTTGATGCTTCCCATTTATATCCTTTGATACACATGACTAACTTTCTAAATATTAATTTTTGTGTTCAGAATATTTTAGAATCATAAAGTGAACACAAATTGCTCCAATAAAGATGCTGATTACAACAGAGTTCATTGCTGCTCTAGTGCTGAGTCTTCCTACACTGCAAGGAGGTCATAAGCTCAGAAAGTAGCTCCCAAATGACAACCACAGTATTATGTTATAACCTATATTTATTCCTGATGAAATGTCTTGCTCTCTGAGATTCCATATCAATGGACTGAGCATAATTAATTTTGTAATGGGCTGTCCCTGAAGAGACACAAATTATTTTTTAAAATTTTACCCATCACCTTTTTTCATCCAGACCTATGATTTCCAGTATTATCGTATATTAAAAATAAATTGCACATAACATAAAAAATCTCACAGGGAGCAAAATTACTCATCTTTTAATTAAATAGGATTTTCTAATATAGTGGTGGTCAAAATTTCCACTGGGTAAGAAGGTTAAAGACGTCCTTCACTGCCTTCACCTATAATCTTTCTTTCTACCCCCTTCCTCTTTTAACTGTTTAGAAGAGCCACAAGTCAGCCAGAAATACCTACCCCAGCAAGTAAAAGGGGGTCACAGTCCTTCTAGCTCAGGAACAGAAAATGCTGAACCTCTATCAGCCAGGGGAGAAGTGAAAAAAGCCAGTATGAAATTAACTTGATTAATGGTGCCTTGCACATATTAAACTTAATAAATGTTCCCTAGGCTGATGAATTTCCCTTTAATCTGTCGCTTGTTCCATCCAACAACAGAAAACATCAATTCCAACCATCCCAAATTACCATCCAAAAAGTTCAAACATTTACCACCAAGATGCCCACATTCACCTTTATTGCTGTCTGTATGTTAGAAACCAAGTGCATTCCCACTGTGGTTACTGCTATAGTGGTATGCATATTAACACAAACTAGGCTGCAGGCTGAAGCTGTCCTTTGTATAAGAGTAAGGTAGTGTTTAATGACTACAGAAACATATCAAGCACTCACCCTAAAGACTCAATTGCCAGCAGGAGCCACGGTCCAGAATTAAAACCAAGTTCCCTAAATGGATGCACAGGATATAACTTCTTCCACTAACATTACTGTCATCAACTTTTTTCATCACACACACACACACAAAAGTATAGAAGCAACTTAAAACCAGAGAGCAAGCAGGACAC